TGTAGATGTTTTAAATCTTTTTTGTCATTTCTAGACATTTATGGCATTCAGCCTATTATCTTGATTTAATTTTTCATCTGCTTCTTAGAATAACATTACCCCTTTTTTTTCTAGATATGTATGCATTCTGAAATAGTCTGCTCAGGCTGCCATAACAAAATACCACAGACTGGGTGACCTAAAAAATAAAAATTTATTTTCTCGCAATTCTGTAGGCCTGAAATCGAGATCACAGTGCTGTCATGATTACTGGTAAGACCTCTTTTCCTGGCTTATGGATGGCTGCCTTCTCACTGTGTCTTCACATGCCTTTCTTCTATGCATGCACAGAGAGAGAGCCCTCTTCTTCCAAGGACACCAATCCTGTTGAATTAAGGCCTAATCCTTATGACCCCATTTAACTTTAATTACCTTTCTAAAGACCCTATCTCCAAGTACAGTCACATTGGGAGATAGGGCATCCATGTATGAATTTGGGGGGGGACACAATTCAGTCCATGGTACATTCTAATCAGTCAGTTTTTAAGTTAAAAAACCCCAGAAATTTACTCAGAAGACACTAAGTAAGAATAAACCTAAGGGCATATGTAGAATGAAAGAGAGGACTTTAACTAAAGAATCTTTAAAATCAGGGTGGCTGATTGGTTCATTTGGTAAAGCATGTGACTCTTTCGAGGCCATGAGTTTGAGCCCCACATTGGGTGTAGAGATTACTTAAAAAAATTTTTTTGAAGAATCTTTGAAGTCAATATAGGACATGTTATCTTTCCTGAAGCAAAGTAAGTGCACAATAAATATCTATTAAAAATAAATAAATAAATAAATAAATAAATAAATAAATATCTATTAAATAAATGAATGAGGTATTCAAAATGTGCCTTAGAACTTTCCCAAGACACCATTTTTCAGGACCATTTTGTGAGCATATCATTTGACTCTTTCAGGCTGCTATTATATGGGAAAAATGATAAAAACATAGTTGTTGCCCACTTTACTCTCAAAAAGTACCTGAAATCATTAGAGAAGTTAACATGTTTATTAACATGAAACATATTAGTATTTTGATTATTTTATGTTTACATTGATATGTGTACCCATTCTCTTTCCTAATGGGTTAAGATTTGGGAAGGACTGCTATTAGGCATGTTGGTGTGTGTGTATGTTGATGTGTATGTATACATGTGTACATATGCGTCTTATGGATATAAATGTATAACCTATGTGATATTTTTATAACTTTTTTGTTACTTTAGTCTTAAAATGTTAACTTTTAACAAAGTTAGGCACCACTACATTTATGGGCCATTACAATGTGATTCACTAACAATAAAAATAAATATCTTGGACACAACCTCCAGCACTTAGAGATTAACAGAAGAAAAGATCTAGAGAGTGGACTGCTGGCAGGGATTTAGAAATAAACTTTGGAGTCACAAATGCATTTTAGCATATTCTAGACAGATCAAGAATTTAAGATAGGAAATTGTGCATCATAACATCCATATGTACATTTCCATATGTAGAAACTAATGTGTATAAACAATACCATATGCACAAGTGAAATGCGATAAACAACTCAAAATCTTTACAGCATTTAGAGGTGAATATGAGAAGAAAGCCAAGTAAGACTTGGTTGAGTTATAACTATACCAGCCCAAATTTGCTTAAAATTTGTACGTTTTATGGTCAACCACAAGATACGTTGGTAATAATCAGAATTTTATACTAATTTCAAGTATTTTCATTCTGAAATTTACTCCTATAAAAATGTCCAGTCATTCAAAGCAGGTTTCTTTTCTTCAAATGTAACTTTTGAAAACAACTGTCTGAATTTATCATTAATTATTGAGAAAACACAACAAAAGAAAAAAAACATGCTCCTCTCCCCCATTTCTTCCCAAATTAGAATATAATATTCTTTGTCTAATCCCTATCTTCCAACAAGACATGAATAATGGTTTTAAAGGACTTTGATCAACTGGAATTTCTAAAGAGTTAAGTCATTGAAAAATGGATTTAATACTTAATTAAGCATTAAGAAGAATCTAGTAAATTTGCAAAAGCCAAAGTTTATTCAAGATTTTACTAGAGGGAATAAATACCACTTTTAACTGAGCTTGGGAAGTAATGAATGGAAATCTAAAATACCACTTTATAAACAAAGGCAGAGCCTGTGCACTTTTACAAAATATTTGTGAATACAAAAATGACAAAATTTGCAGTTTGTGTGCAGGATGAGACACCACTGACCTCCCTTTCCAAACTCTTAGCTTCCCTGATTTTTGTGACATTTTTCTCTTTCAGATCTACCTCTCTAATTGCTACTTCCCAGTTCCTTATCTTATGCTACTCCTTAAATGTCAGCAAATTACAAGGTTTGACCTCCCAATCTTTTCTTGTTCTATGCAGGCTCTTACCAGTAATCTGATCCACTGTATAATTTCTACCATCGCCTCTAGAAAGGTGATCCTTCGTTCAACATCTCCATCCAGCTCAGCCCTCGCTGCTGAATTCCAAACCCAAATTCTCAACTGCCTGCTGTACAGAATGTATTTTAAAAGAATTTGATTCTTCATTCACAGACATATACTGAACTGAATGTATTTATAGTTATTTTACAACTTAGGCCTCCATCTGAGTTGCTTATGCAACATCACAGTCACCCACTTTGCTAACTTTCTGGGACTGCCACAACAAATTACTATAAACTGAGTGGCTTAAAACAACAGAAATTTATCCCCTCACAGTTCTATAAACTAGAAGCCCAAAATCCAGGTTCCTGCCAGTTTGGTCCTTCTGAAAGCCTGAGGGAGAATCTGTTCCATACCCTTCTCCTAGCTTCTGCTGATTGCCAGCAATTCTTGGTGTTTCTTGATTTGTGGTTGCATCAACCCAACTCTGCCTCCATTGCCACAGGGTGTTCTCCCTGTGTGTCTCCTCCCTGCCTTCGCTTGGCCTTCCTGTAAAGATACCAGCCATCAGGGGTGCCTGGTGGCACAGTTGGTTAAGCCTGTGCCTTCAGCTCAGGTCATGATCCCAGGGTCATGGGATCAAGCCCTGCATCGAGCTCCCTGCTCAGCAGAGAGTCTGCTTCTCCCTCTCCTACTGCCCCTCCCCCACCAGGCTGTGCTCTCTCTCTCTCTCTCTCACTCACTCTCTGTCAAATAAATAAATAAAATCTAAAAAAAAAGATACCAGTCATTAGATTAGGGGCCCACCCAACTGCAGTATGACTTCACCTTAACTTAGTTACATTTGTAAAGACCTTATTTTCAAGTAAGGTCACAATCTGAGGCTCCAGTTGGAAATGAATTTTAGCAGAACACTTTTCAATGTAGTCCACTGACCAAACTTGAAATTTCCACTGTTATATTAACCCATATATTTTAACTCAGCTCTCTCCTTTCGAGTCAGACTTCCTCCACACCACAACTAAATAACTTCTTTCTTTTTTCCATTTTTTTTTTAAATATAGCTAATAATGTCCCTCTTCTGCTTAGAATCTTGCTCTACTTCCCCATTGGTCTCAACTGACCTCATAGGTGATTTGGGAATTTATGTTAAAATGTTTGAGGCTTTGTTATACTCCACAGAGCAGCAACTGATACACTTTTTCTCCAGCTGTATCCTTTGCCTTGAATATTTTCCCTTTACATTATCAAAGTGCCATTCATCTTTCACTGTGAACTCATCCCTGACTGCGACCATCCATTTTACCTCATCAAAAGAAGTCATCCCTTTGTGTTATACTAAAGCAACTAGTTTAAGCTAGAGAACATGTATCACTGAGTGTACATGAAAACTTTCCAAGAGTCTTAATAAACACAGACAGTTTTAAAAGAATCGATTTCAAGATCCACATCTTACTTAGGTACTCTTTCTTAAAACTGATATCCTGAGTACACCTACAGATCACAAGTTTCTCTTTCCTATCTTCCCTTTCACAAATGGTTTTTCTCCTGTTTTGCAAGAAAAAAAAAAAAAAGGGCCTCCTTCTAACCCATCCCAATATTACTATGATGCATTTGCCCTGGAGTGCAAAAGCTCCTGCAACCCCAAACACAAGAACAATTGTCAAATATGTATTTTGTTTTGCTTATATCCCTGATTGAATTTCAAGAAAAGAGGACTACTGTGTTAATACTATTTTTTCATCAGCTCTTTTTTTAAATGAGTGTTCTCTATACTCTTATCAAAAAAATTAAAACAGGAACAAATGTCATTCTAACAGCTAGTTTTTTATTCTTCCATAGATACATAAACAAATTTTAAAAGCTTCACTCATCTCAATAATAGAGTTTCAGTAAGACTTTCCTTCTAGTTTTCTTTACCAAAGTTTATAAAATGTTTACATATTTATGTAAATATGGTTCATCGAGGAATTATGAGGAATAATTATTTTAAAATTACAGTTAGTAATATGAACAAGAAATATCAAATATCACCCAAATGAAGCATATTTACATAAGTATATCCATTGTTTCTCTCTTCTACCCTCATTTGTTTATCTCATGAAAATACATGTTTCTTCTTCTCTATTTGCCTTTTGTCATTCAGTCACAAAATTACCTCAAGAAAAAATACATTCATAGCTTCTGCATATAGGTAGGTGAGGGAAAAGATGGACGAGGATTACTCTATATGAGAAGCTGGGGGAAAAAGGATGAAATAACTGGAAAGGAGCAGTTAGGGGAGCCTGGGTGGCTCAGATGGTTAAGCGTCTGCCATCGGCTCAGGTCATGATCCCAGGGTCCTGGGATCGAGCCCCACGTCTGGCTCCTGGCTCAGCAAGGAGCCTGCTTCTCCCTCTGCCTCTCCCCCTGTTCGTGCTCTCTCTATATATATATCTCTGTGTCTCAAATGAATCAATAAAATCTTTAAAAATTAAAAGAAAGGAGCATTTAATAGCGTACAGTCTATAAGGAGGGTGAAAAAACTTAATCTTTTCCCTATATATACTTCATGGATCCATCTCTATCACCATTTTTTTCCTCATTTAATCCAAAAAGCAAACCACTTGGAGCCCCTGTTATAAATGAGTATGCTGATGCCCAACTACACAACTTGGTGAAAAGGATGCATCAAAGAACAATGCTCTACAAGAAAAAGTTGGCAGAAGGAGATATATCCTCACCTGAAGCCAGCCCCCAAACTGGTAAGCATTGTTATCTCAAAGTACTGGAAAAAAAGAAGTTATGAGGGGATATGTAATGTCTTAGTTTGGGTTCTCCCAAGAGCTGACCCTGAGACAATGATTTAGGTGCAAATAGTTTATATTGAGGGTGATCCAGGAAGGTGAGAGCTGACGAGATGGAGACAGGAGTTAAGACAATAAAGATGTATTAATGAGAGGGCTTCTTCTGTGGGCCATCAGACTTGATCCAGCTAACAAACTGTGTGGATCACACTTAAGAATTCTCCTGAGAAACCTTCCCACTTTTTCCCAAAATGGTTACATCAATTAACATTTCCACCAACAGTGTACAAGAATACCCTTTTCTCCACATCCTTGCCAACATTTGCTATTTCTTGTCTTTTTGATACTAGCCATTTTGACTGGTGTGAGGTGATATCTCATTGTGGTTTTGATTTGCATTTCCCTGATGCTGAGTGATGTAGAGCATCTTTTCATGTGTCTGTTGACCATTTATATGTCGTCTTTGGAAAAATTGTCTATTCAAGTCTTCTGCCCATTTTTTAATTGGATTGTTTGTTTTTTTGGTGTTGTGTAAGTTCTTTATGTATTTTGGAGGAAGTGGCAAGGGTATCAATCCACCAAATCCTGTTTTCCATTAGTTAAGGGTTACTGTTGGGGCATGTTGCTAACTTTCCAGTACTTTAAGCAAGCCATCTGAGAAAAAATGCTGAGGGGGACAGACACAGGGAGCCCTCTGCACAGGACTCTTAGACCCATGGTATACGAGCAAAGCAACAGCAATATCTGCTATGGCAAGTTTTATTGTAAATATTAATTAAGAATACTCCTGATAGGGGCACCTGGGTGGCTCAGTTGATTAATATCGAATGCCTTCAGCTCAGGTCATGATCCTGGGGTCCTGGGATCAAGCCCTGCATTGGGCTCCCTGCTCAGCAGAGAGTCTGCTTCTCCCTCTCCCGCTCCCCCTGCTTGTGGGCATGTGCGTGCTCTCTCTCTCTCTCTGTCAAACAAACAAAATCTTAAAAAAAAATACCCCTGATATACAAAGCACTTATTATAAAAATACAAGAACACTACCTGAAGACACAACATAGCAAAGAACATCAACAAACTAATCACATGGTAGAGTGGGGCAATTATCAGCCTCCCTAATAACTACAGAAATGTGTTTATGAAAAATTAAATAAGTGCAATAAAGCAGACAAAAATGATATATATTATGATTACATCTTTGTAAAAATATTTATATATGTATAGATAAAAATAGAAGAAATTTTGGTTGTTTAATAACAGTTAAAAATCAAACTGTTAATTATATAGGATAGAGCTGAGGGTTGCCTTGTAATTCTGTATAAGATAAGTTGGATTTTCAAATTAAACTATGTATTATATAGTAGTTTCCCTTTTAAAAGAAGAGGCTATAAAAAATCAGTCATTATATTTTGATAAAGATAAGTTGAAAAAATATTTCGAGCTTTATCCATAACTTGAAAGATATGTGTGAGACTAAAGAAGCATGAAACTGAAACCTGTGGCATGATGTATATTTGTAATGTTTCTTTTCAATGTAAATCAAAGGACTGACTTTATTCATGCTACAGAATTTGTAAGAATTAAGCTTGTATTTAAAATATCCTGTTTGTGCAACAGATGTTGGCGGGGATGCAGAGAAAGGGGAACCCTCCTACACTGTTGGTGGGAATGCAAGCTGGTGCAACCACTCTGGAAAACAGTATTGAGGTTCCTCAAAAAGTTGAAAATAGAGCTACCATACGATCCAGCAATTGCACTACTGGGTATTTACCCCAAAGATACAAATGTAGGGACCCGAAGGGGTATGTGCACCCTGATGTTTATAGCAGCAATGTCCACAATAGTCAAACTGTGGAAAGAGCCAAGATGTCCATTGATAGATGAATAGATAAAGAAGATGTGGTATATATATACAATGGAATATTATGCAGCCATCAAAAGGAATGAAATCTTGCCATTTGCAAGGACGTGGATGGAACTGGAGGGTGTTATGCTGAGTGAAATAAGTCAATCAGAGAAAGATGTGTATCATATGACCTCACTGATCTGAGTAATTCTTAATTTCAGGAAACAAACTGAGGGTTGCTGGAGTGGGGGTGGGGTGGGAGGGATGGGGTGGCTGGGTAATAGACATTGGGGAGGGTATGTGCTATGGTGAGGGCTGTGAATTGTGCAAGACTGTTGAATCACAGATTTGTACCTCTGAAACAAATAATGCAATATATGTTAAGAAAAAAAAGAAGAAGAAGAAGATAGCAGGAGGGGAAGAAAGAAGGGGGTAAATTGGAGGGGGAGATGAACCATGAGAGACAATGGACTCTGAAAAACAAACTGAGGATTCTAGAGGGGAGGGGGGTGGGGGGATGGGTTAGCCTGGTGATGGGTATTAAAGAGGGCACGTTCTGCGTGGAGCACTTGGGTGTTATGCACAGACAATGAATCATGGAACACTACATCATAAACTAATGATGTAATGTATGAGGATTAACTTAACGATAAAAAATTTAAAGAAAAAAAATATCCTGTTTGTGGGGTGCCTGGCTGGCTCAGTCAGTAGAGCATCTTGGGGTTGTTTGAGCCCCACTTTGGGTGTAGAGTTTGTTTTTTTTTTATTTGAGAGAGACAGATGGAGAAAGAGTACACACAAGCCAGGGGAGAGGTAGAGAGAGAGAGAGAAGCAGACTCCCCACTGAGCAGGGAGCCTGATGTGGGGCTCAATCCCAGGACCCTGGGATCATGACCAGAGCCTAAGGCAGATGCTTAACCGACTGAGCCACTCAGGCACCCCTAGAGATTACTTTAAATTAATTAATTAAAATATCCTATTTGTAACACCTTTGGGATAATTTACTAGGAAGCTTTAAATCTGCTGTTTATTTCCAAATTTCAGTGTTTTCATTACCTGGATATTGTCATTAATGTCACTATTTTCAATGTCATAACATGCTCTATCTACCTATATTGAGAAGGGAAGATTCTGAAATGTTCTGACTTCAAGAAATCCAAGCTTTTCTCATTAACCTAACCTAACCTCTTAAAAATGTGTTTTTTTTCTTCCCTATAAAGCAAAGCCCACAGCTGTACCATCAACACAAGAAAGCAATGCTAAGCTAAAAGAAGAACATTACTATCACATACTGTGTTTTAAATTCCAGAAGATGCCTCTGACAGAGTACCTAAAACGAATTAGACTTCCAAGAAGCATAGATTCATATAGAGGTACCATCAAAGGGTTGACTATCCCAGTGGGAGGGCTAGCTATTACCAAGAACCCCTGGAACCCAAAGTCACAGATGGCTTCCATTTCTCCCTAGCCCACATTCTGAATCTATCTAGAAAGCAGAATTTAAACTAAATTAAATATGCAATGGATTGTTTGACCCTCTCTGGTGAAGGCAAGAGGTAAAATATTCCTGCCTGTTTTTAAAGGGCATGCCAGTATAATGTGGAATAAAGTAAATGTATAATCATCAAAATAGATAAGTGATTGATAATAGATAGATAGATAGATAGATAGATAGATAGATAGATAGATGGATAGATAGATAGATAAAAATAAATAAGAGGCAGTCCAGTCTATGCTGCCTGTAATTACTTTTGAAAAGAAAGCCCCAAAGCATTCAGTGATATGTATACTGACACCCTTCCCCCAAAAAGTCATTATGAATTATCTGTCTTCTTCCATGCCTTCACATTGTTAATTATTCTAACTGAACAAATCCCTTCCTATGGCCTCCCTTGGGCAGAAGAAAGCAATGTGTGAAAGGACATGGATTGCCTTTAATGGGCTGATTCTCTGCCTTCTCCAGGTCAGCTATACTCTTTCAGCAAGATGTGGCTTTTTGTCAACCTGTCTGGGTGATCCTGCAGCTTAACTACTGATGCACAAAAGACCTGCTGCTGCAGTTATCCAAACAGGGCATCTCTGACCTCCCTGGATCTCTTCTTCCTTGATCCATATAGCACAGTTACCTGTGGGGACAGACTCAGAATGACCACTTCTTGGCAAGAGGAGAAGGCCTCTCTCCAATGTCAGAAGAGCTGATAAGATCACTCAACATCCCTTGTAAAGCCCAGTGCTTTCCACTGTAGAGTCATAATTGCACTGAATTTTAATAGACCCTCTTATAGCAATTTGCTTATCTCCAGAGGACAGAGCTCCAAAGTTACCAAACTAAGCAAGAGAATTATGTTAACGCTTGTTACATGCCATTTGGATTTTTCTAGATCGACTCTATCTCCTGTGGCTCTTGCTTGTCACCATTGCTTATAACTGGAACTGCTGGCTTATACCACTGCGCTTCGTCTTTCCATATCAAACACCGGACAACGCACACTATTGGTTTATTACAGACCTCATATGTGATATCATCTACCTTTGCGATATGCTGTTAATCCAACCCAGACTCCAGTTTATAAAAGGAGGAGACATAATAGTAAGTGGGGCTGGGGAAAAGCGGAAACTGACAAATATCAGGTTGGACTACAAAAATAGATTTGCAACACTGTTTATTTAAGGTCTGACTAGCTATCTCTGCCTGTGTGAGTCTTTAACCGCTGGAAACCACCAGTATAGTAATACTAGTAACAACAACAACAACAACAGCAACCACTGAGAACACACTATGTGCAGGGGACCATGCGTCTCCCTGTGCTTTAGTTTCCTCATCTTAAAAATAGTAATAACAATAGTACCTTCACAGTGTTGATGGAAAGACTAAATGAACTGATGCCTGGAACTGTGTTGAGTGCCTAATGAGTGCATATTAAATGTTAGCTATCATTATTATTTCAGTTAATTTCTTTACAATGCCTTGCTTAATCCTTTCAGTCACCCTATAAGAAAGATATTATTATGAACCCCATATACAGAAGAGGAAACTGAGGCTTGGAGAGGGTAGGTGAGATGCTCAAGGCACAAAGCTGGACAGCAGCTAAGGCAGGATTCAAATCCAGACCTTGACTCCAACACCCATGCTCATTCCAACTCTACCGTGTTGGTTCATGTTGGTTAGTTTTTCAGAATTTGAGAATATGTGAAGATAGAAAGATAAAACCAGGTCTGAAATATCAAAACCATATACATATTTTATCTAAATAATGTAAAAATATATATATAAACTATGTATGCAAAAAGAAATGATTTAATAAATATTTCTCTAGTAATCACACCTCAAATAGTCTATGAGGCAGTTGTTTTCCACCATATTGCAATCTGCCATTCACCTCAATATTTTTTTTAGAATAAGGCAGGTATTATATCATTCACAAGAGTCTATTCAACTTCCTCAGGAGACAACCTGGTATTGAGAGAAAGCACTGGGCTATAAGATTTTTAGGACACAGACTTGTACCGTATTTATCATTGTATAGTCAGCACTGAGCACAGGACCTGTACATAGTACAGAAAACAAGTCCAAGGTCTTAGGTCTTGACACTTTGGGAAAACCTAACTTAAAAAGAAAAGAAAAGCTGTCATGACCCTTTTAATCAGTGTAGATTCACGGCACTGTCCAATATAGTGGCCCCACTAGCAAGATGTATCCAAATTTAAATTTTAATTAATATTAAATAACATTAAAAGTTCATGTTTCTCAGCCACATTATCAATATTTCCAGTGCCCAGTGATCACATTTGGGTAGAGGCTACCATATCAGAGAGCATAGAATATTTCCACCCTTGCAAAATGTGCTATTAGATAGTGCTATAACAATGAGCCATCAAGATTTTCACTGAGACAGCCAAACCATAAGAAGGAAGCCACACACCCTGCAGACAGGTGCCAATCACAAGCACATAAAACACCCCTGTGGTGTTTTGGGGTTTTTTTAATTAGTATGGTATCTACTGGCCTCTCTTCTATTCACTCTTCCCCCATCCAGGTTTATCACATCCCAATTCTCACCATCAAATGCCCTGGTCTACTTCAGAAACTACCATTCTTACCCTTAGGAGAAATTATTTTCTCCTAGATTTATTCTCAGTATTGAGAGAATTTCATAAGCAACCCAGTCAATCTAACAGAAGAATATGTTCTCACAAGCACATACACAAACCTTAAAGCTTCTACTCCTCAGCCCTTCCCCCGCTAACTAGAAGGATGCTTCCTTTCCAACTGATGTCCACTGTAATATCCTCGTCACAATCTCAGTGGGAACTGCACAGAACAGACCCTCCAATGGATCTGTCACAGTAGGAAGACCAGACTGAGGGAATACATGGCACCTTGGGTTCATACATATTTTTGAAGAATAAAGGTGGGTTCCTTAATCTCCCAAATATTTTCTTTTGAATCTCCAGATAATCTTAAATTATCAAAAAGCTGAAAGGAGTAGTTTTGGTTATTGTTTTCTTTTAGAAAAAAATTTATTTGCTGAAGAAATCTTATTATTTGAAAGCTTTCCTAGAAAGAAATTCTAAAGACAAGAGCTATAGCTGTAGCAAGAATTTATTCAAAATATTCCTTATGTGGACCTCAGAGTGCTAGTCAGCTCACCAGCACTATCCTGAGAGCTCACTGGCAGCTTGATGAATGATGATGATGGTATACAAATAAGAAATAAACAACCCACAAAAAAAGAACACTAATTTCAACCTCCATTAGATGCACAAGGGGGGAGAAAATCAATGTTTGACAAATGGAAAATGACAAAATCAGTAAGGGGAGACTTATTTTCAATTTTCTAAGAGGGCTTTACACACAATGGAGTGTTAAAAACAAGAAAAATAACCAATAAAAACAAACTCAACGGGCTCTATTTAAAATGCATTATCACAAACTACAAATACAGAGCAGGAACTAATTGCTTTGTTTGTTCAAAAGAAGTTTAATGGTTTCTTTAATTTGGAATAGGTAGTGTTAGCCTTTGAAACTTGATTACATTTTGTTAAGAAGACCATGCAAGTCAAGTACCCAAACTGAAGATCAATGACTACGTTTAGCTATCTATGCTACTTTTGGCACACTGCCAAATTGTTCATTCATTCATTCAACAAACATTTATTAAATATCTACAGTTGTCAGGTATTTCAGGGCTGGAGGATGGAAATATTAATTCCCCCAAGGCCTTGGAAAACAGACAAGTAACAAAAGTGCAAAAGGCCACAATAGAGGAAATTAGGAGGGTTTTGCACAATATTTATTTGCAGTATCCTTCTTCTGAGATGGTGTTACACAAAAAGAGAATAGAATTTTGTATCAAAGACCAATAAAAGAGTCTCTTATCTGTAATTTCCTTTAAAACAGAAACTGAAAACAGAACTGAAAATGACAATGAGGATTACTGAGATATATGAGAATCATACCCACAACACTGCTAAACCTACCCATCAAACGATTCATGGAAACGCTCAGTGCCACCTACCCATCAAACGATTCATGGAAATGCTCAGTGCCAGCTAGTGACAATGTCAATCGGACCTAATGTTATAGTCAACCACTTTTGGCACTTAGTCTTCTCAGTTACTGTTTATAACCTGACCTGAAGAAAATTAACTACTCCTTTCTCCATGCTCTGTACACTTTATTCATACTTCTGTTATTTAATTGTTAAATAAAAATGAGGCTAATTAAGATGTAGTAGAAACAAACAGACCAGGGTCAAATTCCACCTCTGAAATTTACTAATAGCATTACTTGAAGAAAATAAATTCACCTTTTCATTAAATACTATCTTTTCATCCATAAGATGGGAATTACAGTACCCACCTCATAAACCTATTGTGAAGATTAAATAAGACAATATGTACGCCTAGGCCAGAATCTGGAATCTAGAAGACATACAGTAAGTTGTTGAATGAATCAAATGAATGAATATCCACACATTTAACTTCCCCTAATGTCTCCTATTTGCATCTGTAGCTCTCTTTCTTACCTGATAATAAGTTTCCTGAGTGTAAGGACAGTATCCAATTCATTTCCCTCTCTACCTTAGGAACTCAGAGAGTATATTCAAGAAATGTTTGAAGGAGTGAAATAATGGCAATCTTCATTCAAGGATCTTCTTTCCTTGAATAATTATTTTTATATCCATCTGTTCTATATGAAATTATGGAATTTCTATGAATTATTTATCAGAAGAGGTAAATATAATTGTACCTGGGTAGAGCTTCTTCAAAAACTTACTTTTGGAAAAGGATTTAGGTGAAGTCAGCATATCCTTTCTAAAGCAAGCCTCCCCTGAAGAAAGGTTGCCTGCAAAATGATGAGGCTTAAAAAGAGAAAGAAAATTAAATAGGGTACCATTTTTTTTAAATAAGTGCCTAATTGTTACCTTTAAGCATGCTGGTTGTCATAAAACTAATGATGCCAAATTTATTTAGTGCTCCAAAGAAGAGAGATTTTAGAATCACTATATCACATTTTCATCTAATCAAAGTTTTTGTTTCATTTACTTTTATTTATTCAATCATAGGATCATAGACAGCCTGAAAGTAAAGGGATAAAAGTGCTAAAAACATTCTTCCAGGGTTAGAGGAGAGAGTGGTATTTTAACGTTGTAGCACTTGAAATGTATCTGTCAGTCCCAGATAAGCTTTGAAGGAGCTGACTGATTTTACTCAAGCTTGGTACATGATTCAAGTTAAACTTCTATATATGTCTACCTGTGGCTCAGTAAGCCACTGAGTTTCACAGTAAAATCATTAAATGAGCATGTCTTATATATCTTCCAATATATTTCTATAAGATTTAGTATATATGTTTGGGTAAAAATTATAGCTGAAAACAGGTGGGGGGAGCAGGAATTGGGGAGTTGGCTAACCAGTATTTAACACAGGTCGGCAGTGGTTTAAAACCTCTGAACTTGGATAGTCTGGATGATAATTGTTAGAAGACACTGCTTCCATGTGTCCAAGTTATAATACTTCGGCTAACTCACCAATAGCACAAAGACAGTTCCTCCCTACCTATACTTAAAATTTAAGAATGTAAATCCAATATTAGCATTAATTCTTTTAGGTCTGAATGGTAACAAATGCCTCTTAATCCATCACTTATCACATATTTATTGGGCACCTACTATGTGTTAGATATTGCTTGCATTAGAAACTGGAAAAACTAGACAAAGATATGGACCTTACCCAAGCAATTCAGCATATGAAAGACAGACAAAAGAAAAATGGTGAGGTTTGTAATGGGAGTCATGACAGAGGTAAGTCCTAAAGATTATGAGGCACAGGGAAAACCATGTGAAGGAGAGGACACCTGGTCCAAACCTTGATGAATGAATTTCAGTTATCTGCACACCTCTACCCCCACAAAAAAAAAGGAACAAAACATATGTTCGAGGCTCTGAAAACAGCATAGGCAAAGTCATGAAAGTGAGAAACTCTGATGCTGAATAAAGTGGATGTGGGATGCTGCAGGAGGTGAGTGAGACAGAGAAAGTAGAGCCTTTGTAGACCATGGAAGGGAGCTTGTATTTTTTTTAAGTCGTGTGGAGTCAGAGGATTTCACATAAATGGTGATTGTTAAGTAATCTGATTTAGCATGAGCATCTAGCTGCCATTATAGAGTGGATCAAGGGGAACAAGACTTAAGGCAGAGACCCATGCCAAAAGGAGAGAATGAACATGAGGAAATTGTACTATATGCTAGCTAATTGAACATAATAATAAAAAAATAATAATAAAATTGTAGGAAGAAGAATCAGTAGACTTGGTTGCTGGTTGGATGAGGGCTGAGGGAGAATGAGTGGTCTGGGATCACTGACCAGTATAGATAAGGATGCTCATAGGATTCCTCAAGAGGAGGAAGGGTGGGGTGGGGAGATGGTTAGGCTAGTGGGGAATGGAGAATGATGATGAATTCAGGTTTGGTGTAGATTAAATCTGAGATAAAAATTGCTAAGTGAAGACAATAGGCAGTTGCTTGTCCAGTTCAACAGCTCCAGAAAGTGACATTAGATGTCAGTAGATATTTGAAACCATATAAGTGAATGAAATTTTCTAGGAAGCAAGTATGAAGAGGAAGAGAAGAGAGCTGAGTCCTGGGGAATGTTGACATTTAATTGGCTAACCCTAGAATCAAAAAGGACCCCAAAAAGTTAGAACTGAAGAAGTAAACCAAAAACAGCATTTCAGAGTCTAAGAAAGAAAAAGTTTCAAGAACAAATATCCCCCCAAATGTCAAACGCTTCGAAAAGTTTTATTCATCTCTTTATTCCTTTATCTATTCATCTACTCAATAAGTATTTATTGGGCTCCTAATATATTCTAACCACTAACTATGCACAGTTGCTCAACAGAGTCAACTCTGTCCTCCTAACTCTCAGAAATAGACAGACATTTGGGAGTTATCCAAGGTTACCCAATATGTATAGATGAACTCCAACATCCCATTTGAAGATAGATAACCATTTAATGGAATAAACTGAATTCAAATAGGTGAGTCAAGAAATATACATGTGATTTCAAAACATGGTGAATGCCATAAAAAATGCTAAGTACTATAAAGGATCCCTTGGGTGTGATCATGAAGAGGTTGTTGGTGGCTGTCACATTGGTAGTCTTAATGGAATAAGAAAAGTGAGCAAAGGTCAAATTGCCACTAAATTGTCATGGGCTGAGGAATAAATATGAGAGAAGGATGCAGAATAAAGCAATGTAGGCAACTATCTTAAGAAGCTTGAGTATGACAAACAATAGATCAATAGCAAAAAGAAAACAAATGACAAGGAAGATTTTATTCTGTTTAAAGAGATGAGAGGATAGAGCATATTTATTGGCTGAAGTTACAAGGAACCTGTAGAGAGAAATAACTATAAATATTTATTCAAGTAAGAAAATAATTGAGGAAATTGGGTAAAATTTATATAAAATATAAATGTAACATTTCAGGTGGATTCAAATGAGTTAAACAGACACTACAGGAGTTCTATAAAGTTTCAGGTAGGTAACTGACAGTTTCAAAATTGTTCAAATAATCCATTACCATTTTGATTTTAAGTCCTATTTATAAATTTCTTTTTTTAAAATTTGCTTCCTTTTTGAATCATAGCTTTTATGACAAAGTATACAGATGAAGTTCTGTTAGGCAAAGGCAAGCCTGAAGTTTTTGTTTCTCAATAATTACATGATACACTTCCATGAATGTGAAAATGTGGAATTCAATGCATGAATCTTTATCAAGCACAACAAAATGTTAGTGCTCACAGTTAAATTCTGATTAAAATGTCAGTAAAGGAGTACGGAGTATTCTTTGTCTTGTCCATACAGAATGCTAGCCTCCAATTCGTGTAGCATGATGATATAAAAATCTATCAAATTTTTTCTACTTTTATTTCTTTCTTGTTCATATAAACAAAATAAAAAACAAAAAGGAAGCAATTATTTAAATAACATGGCACTTTTCTGTCCTCAAATAACAATATAATTGTGGTTTTTTTCACTCAGAATTATTTACACCCAAGTACTTTATTATCTTTTATTTGTTCCTCCTAACTCTCAGAAATAGACATTTGGGAGTTAACCAAGGTTACCCAATATGGATAGGTGAACTCCAACCTCCCATTTCAAGGACAACACTTTTGTGGCCTCAAATTTTGTGTAACAATACAAAGCTGGGGTTAGGTGCCAAATTGTCCCCATTGGTGATCTATGGTGATTAAAATTTCTTTCAACTTGTTTTCATCTCCAACTAATTTTCATTGTAAAAAATTGTCACATATTTGGCATATTCATAATCTACACTACTTTGATGAACTCCACAAGAGGATGACCATTCTTTTTAAGTGTCACATATTCCAAATTCTTAATCACTTTCTTGAATTTGAATTAAGTGCAAATTTTACGTTTATTTAATTGTGGTCACTCCTTTTGAATTCCCTTAGCACATCCTGCTTCTCTATAGCATTGTATTATAACTATTTTTGTGTTTCATTATTCCACTATTAGATTGTTAACTTCTTGTGGACAGAAACAATATTTTACTCCTATTTCAACTGCAACATGTTTTGCAAAGTGCCTTGTACAGAGTTCAGTACTGGTCAGTTCTTACTCAATTCAATTTTCTACAATTCAATGAGAAATAAATCATCTTTATCTAACAAATAACACATTAATGTGTTAATATCAAACATGACTTATGACTCCATGGAGAATTCAAGTGGGCAGTTGAGCAATTAGATAACAAGTAAAAAGACCACAATTCTGACACATTAGTTCTAATAAATTTATTTTAAAGATTAAATAAAAGTTATTATGATTTGACCAGAAAACATGGGTACTGCAGTAGCACTAGACAAGTCAACAGTTCCATACTCCTGCTCTCTTACTTATAAGACATTATTTTAGTAACTGCTCTCTATACCTCTTAACTTGTTACAAAGCTCAATATCTGTAAGGTAAAATTAATGAGGTTTGAGGATATGATGTAATTTATAAACCAATACTCTCAGTAAGGAATTTGTTTATAATAGCCAATATGGTTAATTCAAACTGGAAGTTTCATTTCTTTTCAATAGCATGAAGATATTGTGAAATGCTGTTATGTAATTAATTACCTCAACTTTCCCTTTTAATATGTATGGCCTTACAGAAAGCTCTTAACTGTTCTTAAATGTCTTAAATGTTTTTTAAATGTACTCTATGTTTCAAAACCATGGTTTCAATACCATGTAAAAATTAATGAGTATGAATAAATGAATGAAAATGAATAATTATCTTACATAAAAGGATTTCTTACTGTCATCCCTGCAATCAAGAAAGTATGCAAGTGATGTTGCCATTTCACAACTACCAGGGTAACAGAAAACCAGTATAATTAAATACATGACAAATTTAAAAAATTTTTTTTAGCTGTAATAGTACTTTTAATAACTTCTCCTATTGGAGTTACTGATTAATTGTAAATGGGACTGATTCCTTTCCTCTCTCTTAACCTGCACAGTGTCTAATAGATAGATTTCATAGCAGTTTATTGTTAGCATCAACCCAAATGAAGAGCAATTAAAAGAATTGAGTCATCTGGGTGAACCACCAACAATATAATCAGCCTTGAATACTGGAGAATAGGCTGAAACATAAAAATATACAACTGCGGGGCGCCTGGGTGGCTCAGTCAGTTAAGCAGTTAAGTGTCCGCCTTCCATTCAGATCATGATCCCAGGGTCCTGGGAGGAGCCACACATCAGGTTCCCTTCTCCATTGGAAGCCTGCTTCTCCTTCTCCCTCTACCTGCCACTCTCCCTGCTTGTGTGGGTTGTCTCTTTCTGTCAAATCAATAAATAAAATCTTTAAATATATATATACAATTGCAGTTAATGTGCAATTGTCTCAAATAAAATCAAGAGTAGACTTGACGTTCAGTCCAAGAGCCCCACATTTAAAATACTATTAAAAATGTATTTTAACATTAGTAGCCGTGCCATCTCTGAAGTATATGTGACACTCAAAAAAATTGCAGAAAATGCAGCACCTAAAGAGAGCTCAGATGCAGGGCGCCTGGGTGGCTCAGTTGGTTAAGCGACTGCCTTCGGTTCAGGTCATGATCCTGGAGTCCCGGGATCGAGTCCTGCTTCAGGCTCCCTGCTCAGCGAGGAGCCTGCTTCTCCCTCTAACTCTCCCCCCTCTCATGTTCTCTCTCTCTCTCTCTCTCTCATTCTCACTCTCTCAAAATAAATAAATCTTTAAAAAAAAAAAGAGAGCTTAGATGCATGAAGATAGAATGAAATACATTGGAAGTAGCCTACAAAATAGTTTTCTTATTTTCATGGTGCGAATATACCTTTCAGTGGCACCAGGCATACTATGGAAGGCAATTTTATATTAAACAACAAATAATTCATGGTGCCTGGTCAGCTTATATATACAATGGTATGAATCAATCCATGTCCAAAAAAGCACACAAACATAATATGATTGTGAATGTGTTTTTCCAACAGTTGGATGTTGCATCGGTAATGCCATTTGATGTTTTCTACCTCTTCTTTGGGTTTAATCCAATATTTAGGACAAATAGGATATTAAAGGTAAGATAACCATATAATTTTCTTTTTATAGTAATGGAAATCTTGAAATGATTTATGTCCTAAAAGTATAATATTTTTAATTTTTCCCAAACTGTCCTTTTTTTCCTTCAATTCTATGAATTTTTTTTAAAAAAGGAAAAACATCATTGTTTCTACTGATGGAAGTTGCTCTTGATTGTTTTATTCTATATCTCACAAGAGATAGTTTTATAACCTAAAATAGGAATGCCTTTAATAAATACCTAAATACAACTATAATTACAAATGAATCTATCATAATCTTTCATTATCGTATTCTTTCCCATTTGTCCTTTTTCATCGGTCACTGAATGCCCAGAACACAGGCCGCAAAACGAGAGTTAGATTAGATTACTTCTAAGTTATCTTACTCATCTAAAATTCTATAATTCTAAAAAAAAGCTGCAAACAATTTTACATAACAAAATTATTTTCATATTTGTATACAACTCAAATATCCACCAACAGGGAACTAGTTAAACAAATTGCAGGACATCTATATAATAGAATACTTTGTAACACAAGAAATTAATAAATAAAAAGGAAGTTTTCTATGAACTTAAACAGGAAGATCTTTAAGATAAATTGCTAATTTAAAAAAAGCTAATTACAGAATAGTTTATAGAACGGTACTTACTTTTGTGTAACACAAAGGGAAAAATATTCCATTTCTTTGTATTTACATAAACAGTGGAAAATTACCAAAAAACTATAATAAAAATGGTTAACTGAGGTGGGTGGGGATGGGTGACAGGAGGGTAAATCAGAATAGGGGAAGGAGTGGGAGAAACACTTTTAAAGGCATATATTTCCTATTGTTTTTGAACTATGTGCAGGCATTACCCATTCAAAAAGATTCTAAGACAGAAACATTTTATAACTCATAGCTTCATCAGGCACCTAAAACAAACCTGAGGAGAGTCAGGATGTGAAATTTCATGTAAATCTTTAACAATAGCAATGATAATATATTTCCAAAGACAACCTGTGTAAAAGGAACACCAAAGATTTTATAAATTTTAGGTGGTTATCTCTCACACATTGGGAAGACAACACAACATAACCTGGGGACACGGTAGAACCTGACAACAGCAAAAATAACAGCAACCAAAAAAAAAAGCAGCAACTGCTCTTCGTTGGATACATATGGGGTGGGGGCGACTGCATACTTTGTTAAACTTAATATTCATAATTTCATTTATTCCTTCAAATAACTTCATTTTAGAGATGAGGAAAATGAGAACAGGTTGGAAAAATATGCATTCTATCACATATTTTTCTGACTCCAAATTCTTTACTGTAATCAAATTGGCAAATAAACTTCAAGCTGAAGGGGGCTTTCCTTCCATGCCCATAGTTTTTTTCAAGTTGAAAGGGACCTTACCCTATATTTTCACATATTTAAAACAACTCTAGAGACTTCTGGTTTGACCTTGGAATGTGGGTCTAGATTGGAGCAGAACTTAACTTCCCAGGCAGCTTAGCAGGTAGGCCATCCCTCATCAAATTTATAGTCTCACATAAGTTTCCAGAGGTTCCTGCTCAGAGATAACCAACTTTCCAGGAAGACTCAGGTTCCTATAGATTTGGGAGTTTGTCTGGCATTATAATAAAAACTTACAAAATGCCAACTCTTCATACTTCCTCTCTGTATCTCTAAGGTGTCCAAAGACTCTCTATATTCAGTAGCTTTTTTTAAATATAGAATGTCCTGAAAATCAACATTGGTCTTGTTTTCATAGCCCCATAGTCCAGTCACTTCACATATAAGTGTGTTATTTTAATGCACAGTTCTGTAGGAAATTTTTCATTTATCTGTCTCCAAATTATATATGAGAAAATAAATTAAAAGTATAAATTTGCTCTACAGTGAACACTTCAGCTAAACTTAAAAACACATTTGTGCAAATTTCTATTAAGAGTACAATAAGGGGCAGCTGGGTGGCTCAGTTGGCTAAGCATCCGACTCTTGGTTTTGGCTCAGGTCATGATCTCATGAGTCAGGAGATGGAGCCCCATGTCGGGCTCCTCGCTCAACGGGGATTCTGCTTGAGATTCTCTCCCTCTGCTCTTCCCCCACTCATGCTCTATCTCTCTCTCTATCTAAAATAAAGATAAATCTTTTTTTTAAAAGCACATAAACAAGTTACCACAAATTGAAATTATCTCAATCTGAACATTTGAGGGATTTTTCCTACTTAGGAATTCTGGAAAAACAAATCATTTGTGTATATTTCTAGGTAAATAACAATTACTATTATATGTTTTTTAATTCCAAATGTTCTGTTATAGTCATATTTACAGTGGATGAATTTTGAACTCAATAAACTGTGAACTAAATAATCTTCAATAGTCCTTTCTGTCTGTAAGATTCTTTGAGTCTAAGCACATTAAATAATTAAATACACTAACTCTTGTATGGATACAACTCTTTTAGGAGGCATTTCCTCTTACTGTTCTCATTTTACAGATGAGGAAATCAAGGTACAGAAATATTTAGTGACTTTTCCAAGGTCGCACAATTAGTGAAAGGCAGAGGTGAGATTGGTGTTTGGCTCTGGATTTCGTGCTCTTACTCTTGCCTTATACTGCATATAGTAATAAAAGAGGAAGGGGGGGTAGGAGTGCATGTAGGTTGTATGAGCCAAAATAGAAATAGAAGTAAACAGGAAAAGCCCTTGAGGGAAATAGCAACTCTGGATTAGATGCATATAAACTCATTGTATCTCTTTGAACAATGTCAAGAAGAGCTAACTAATGCTCATATTACCGGACTTTAAATTTTGTTGAAATAAATACACATTTAATGTAACTTGCTTAAAAATAAAGCTAGTGTTGAACAATGGGACTTAACATGTATTTATAACTTCAATGGGTTATATCATACTTTTCCTATTTTACTTATGTCTTGGGTGGAGTGCGATTTTAATTATTGTAAAATAGGGTTCTACTAGATGCTTTAAAAAGAAAAAGGGAAGAAATGTGTTTAGGCTTGATTTTCGACAAGCATTACAAACAAGACTATAACTAGAGAATAGAGATAAAATAAAGCAAAAAGCACTGGGAGTTTGGCACCGTTCTCAAATGTACTGGCCAGAAGAAAATACGACTAAACAGACCTTAGTTTGCTTGTTTTAGAGACTTATGAATGGAATTATTTTCAGTAACAAATAAAATTTATTTTACATAGTTTTATTTAAATAGATGTATTTAAAACTAACACACTTTTGGATTTCTTCTGTTTGTTTTCTACATAGTACACTTCATTTTTTGAGTTTAATCATCACCTAGAGTCTATAATGGACAAACCATATATCTACAGGTAAAGTAAACTCAGTATACTTCCGGGGGTGACAGAGAAAGCAATGGCACCAACAGTTTAGCCAGATTTGAGAAGAATATGATCTCCCTGATGAAGAAAACAGAATAATCTCAGAATTTTGGCTATATAAAATAAAGGGTTATGTTCTAAAACAGACTGGAATATTTTGAAGTGAGATTAAGGCATGAAAATCATATTAGATTTTAGAAGAATACAGAACTAAAAATAGAATGTATTACCTGCTCCAGTCAGAACAAGTACAGATAAGCGTGTTCCTTCACAAGTTGACTTTGCTTCTCTCTCATGACAGTTCATTCTAATCCAAATTTCATTCATTTGCTTTCCTGAACTTCACTTGCACAGAGACTTCTAGTCACTATTAATTGTAGCATAAAGTCCCATGAGCTTTTCAGAGATATCCAGCTAAATCAGTGTAGCGTATTTTATGGGACTCAAAGTGGAGAGGTGACCCCTGGGGCATGTCTTTCAGGGGGTTGATTCATACCATCTGTGAAAAGAGAGGAAGGTTTTTTTTTTACACTCTGTCAATCCCAGTCAAGACACTACAGTTAGAAAACATGCAATGGCACCATCATTTTATACTGTACTAATGAGAGTTAACAGTTCACAAATTTAAAGCAAGGAGGTTCAGTGGAGACTTAAAGGAATAGAAAATGTTAAAATAGGCTGTATTCCAGAAACAACATGAGTCCTTACTTTGCATTTATTCTCCTTGGCAGAGTCATTCGAACAACTGGATACTTGCTGTTTACTCTGCACATTAATGCCTGTATTTATTACTGGGCTTCCGACTATGAAGGAATTGGAACTACTAAATGGGTGTATAATGGTGAAGGAAACAAGTAGGTTTTAATTTGAAGGAAATTTTATGGATTCTTCTTCACTTTCTGTTTCAGTGTATGCATTTTCTTAAGCCAGTGTTTTTGAAACTGTAACTCACAACCCATTAATGGCCAGTAAAAACTTTTTAGTAGATCAGTAAGTGAAAGAGAGTAAAGTAGAAGAGAATAGAATAGAAAATATCAGTCTGTCATACCTAGAAGATATGTGTGTGTGTGTGTGTGTGTGTATCCTGGGTTGGCCTGAGAAATGCATTTCTTGCTCTGGATTATGATCAAAAATGTTTGAAAGCCTCTGCTTTAGACATCTGAGTGGTAAGGTAACTTTTAATAACTCCAATGCTGATTGTTAGTAATGAACAATGTTAATTATTTGGAGGGCAGGTGCAGTAGCTAATTAGTTTACCACTGAAGGATTTTATGGGTTTATGAGTCAGCTATAACCACTAACTCAATTAAACACTTACAGAGTAACAAGGATCATAAATTAAACTTGACAGTTAGATATGCAAGTATCACAGGAATAAAAGAAATCATTTGAGAAATTTAGGGCAGTAGCATTATGACTAAATAATAGCAACCTGGGTTATTTAATAGTGAGATTTCCTTTCGGAAGATACAAGAGTCTGGCATAAAGTAGACTCCCCTAACTTTCTGCTCCAATGAAATGACTTGAGCATATTATAAGGCAATGTCGTTAATGGAAAAGGACAGGTCCCAGCATGACTTTGAAGAACAACTCACAGCAGCCTTGGGAAGGAGAGCAATTATAGGATAGAGCAAAGAGAGTGAAAATACCTCACAAAAATTACACACTACCTAGAGAAAGGATGTGTGTGAGAGTATAACAACATTTTTTGAACTTTTAACCAGAATTGATTTTAGAAATTTGAAGTCAGAAGACCTACTGGTTGGGAAAACATACGCATATACATACACACACACAGAATATCTATTCCTGGAAAGTTTATAACCAAATCTGTAAGTAATTCCTTTTAGAATATGTATTAACTTAAGTATATATTTAATTTAGTATAAATAACTAATTGATATGGAAAACTGAGTAAGGCACCAACTATATTAAATAATGCCTAAAAGTGAGCATGTAAGAAAGAAAGAAAGAAAGAAAGAAAGAAAGAAAGAAAGAAAGAAAG